CTGTGACGGTGCTTTCTTTTTACGGACAAACACAACCACCTCAGGTACACGTACCCGCTTCTCCCTTCTCTCCTCTCTCACCTCATCAACCCTTTTGGATAGCTTATCTCAACAAAATTCGCTAATTCTTAATAAAATCACAAAATCTTTACCTCGCTTCCGACTAGCTCAAATACTTACACACAAAATTTCTACTGTCTTACTTCCATCGAAAAATCAGGTATCTAATTCACTTTTTACTGGTGTTAATTACTCTACTTCTCATCTAACTTCCCGTTGAAAAATCATCAACTCAATGGCCCTAATTTCATTCATTTATTTTAATGCAAAATCCAATGCATTCCAGAAAATTGCGATCTTTACAATCAATATTATAAAAATTGGGAACTATGACTAAAACCTTATTAAGCTATCAAAAAATTTGAATATTATTAGTTCTGTTGGCCAACTCACAATATGTTCTTTCCCTTGAAGAGGTGAATATTATTTTTTTATACTGAATTTTCCTTGACACAAATTCCACTATTTCAAATATAATTAATTACCTTCTTTAAGGAAATTGATTCAATAAACAATCGATTAAAACATATCATAAAACATATAAATACACACAAATTGACTTTATTTTTATTACAATGAAAATATTCAAAATAGACTAACCTTTAAAAATCCAGGACTTCGATGAGGATTGGGAAGCCCTTTACATGCTAGTTGATTGATGGATGGGGTAGACTGCAACTTTTGGAATGCCAACTTTACGTCGTCGATTGTTTTTCTTTTTTTTCTATTTTATATAGCTGATGATTACAGTTGAAAAATCCTTGGCTCGCTGTTGAGTAGGTTATTTTCCTTGTAGAAGGTAGACGAGATTTTCCAAAAACATGTAGTTTTGTAGGTATAATCCCACAGTGAAATTTTATTGATGTAAACACCTTATTTTGCGTAAGTTCGTGAATTAATTTGCCTGATTTTTTGGTCGATTTAAAGAAGTTTTTTCATAACAAACTATTACATTGAACTTTTAAACCACATTACTTTGATGAAAACGGCTATCCACACTTAAAAAACTTTGATGGTTATATTCCAAGGAGGCACAATAGTAAATTTTAACACAACGGCAAATGGGTGAAACGTTTAAATTTGTTCCGTCGGATAGATGCCAAAAATGCGCTCGTATTATTTTCCTTTAAGAACAAGGGTTCATATCACACAGCTATTATCGGTCGAATTTACTTAGCGCTTTATATTTGATACGTAATGTCCACGTCTAATTTTAATTTCAACACTATGTGGATGATTTCATAGCACAATACGCTTGACAAATTTTTAACTAAGATTCCGCGATTTACTTTTTCTCTTCGGGCGTGAAATTTACCCAATGGAAAATTCACGTTTTAACTAATGGTGCAAAACTGTACTTAAACTTGGACTAATATCGACCGTCACTTAAACGGAATCACTTGTTTGGTGCTTAATGCACGCGATTGGAAATTTACGATCTCTTCGGCCCGGCTATGCAGTACCAATCTCTCTTAAAATTTTTTCTCTTAACTCTCTCCTAACATATTCACGCCCCTTAATCGTTGCAAAATGGCTGATCTTTTTTATTACTGGTACTTCTCATACAATGGCCTCCATCTAAACCAATTAACTGGGGAATACTTATCAACTAATTTTTTCAGCGTTTGCAGAACCAGCTTTCCCAAGCTTGGCTGGTGACTCAATGATAAAAAAACTTATCTAAAGAAATCCGATATTTATTCGTTATCTGCATCCTGTTTTGCACTGAGAATTTTCTGTGATCCCATTTATTGCGAATCGCGGCACAAGGAAGTTTAATACAATGAACCCAACATGATGTCATACTACAATAGTTACAAAGCGAAAAAAGTTTTATCCCCAAAAGGAAGAAAGGTTTATCCAATTTTAGTACAAATCCAAATCGATATTCGAAAAATTTGCAAAATTTCGACCGGCCATTACTCCACCCGTTACAGTACCCCCTTCTGTTTTTTAAACGAAGAAGCATGATGAGTTTGGAAAACAACAAAATAAAAATTGGGTGATATAAAAAAAAATTTTCACACAAAAATTCTAAACAAGATTCTACTCAGAACCAGAAAAATGTTTTACAAAATATCAAAATGTTAAAAATATACACGCCTACTATCAAAATGTTCCAACAAAAAAGTTGAAATTGTCTCATAGAAGAAGGAAAAAATTGGCATGTAGTACCGTAGAAAGAACCTACCTCTGGTACTACATAAAAAAAAACTGTACTTATGACGCCACAACATAAGCACCCAACTAAGAAGTGTTGGTCTTGAAATAGGGGTAGCAACCTCCTAAATGTTACATCGATTCCCGAAAAGCGGGGCGGTCTGAAGGACCTACGAAGGGAACCTTCAACTCATCCTAACTCGTAAAATATTAAAATAATCGTCTGTCCAGCACCACTCTTCACAACACTATCCACAAACATCTAAACATGTGGGAGGACCTTCACCATTCCTGGTGGCATCACCTTCAAAGACTCTAAAACCTTTCACGAAACTCAAAAACTCCCTCACAACACGGTTCCATAGCTGGAAAGTAGCTCTTAAGCTCGCCTCCTGACCGTTCAAAAAGGACAAAATCCATAAAATCACAAATCGAGAAAAATATGTCAAAAATCGGTATACTCATATCAAAAAATCCTATAGAAGTCAACGCATAATAATCTAGCATGTCAAGTAGTCCATAATACTAACCTACTTTTGTGTGTGGAAAAACGTATATACAAATCCTAAACTAAATCCCAAAAATCTCAAATATAAGAAAAAATCCTGAATCCTAAAAAAGCATCACTGTTGCTAAGGAGGGTCAAATATAAGACAAATAATGAGAAAATATATACGTGCATCACTATTGCACTTATGGAGGGCAAGATATATTAGACAGTATATAAAAATATTCAATATTATAAAATGGAGAAATCCCAATTCCTCAGGATTGTAAGATTTTGTACGGATTAAAAATATTTCCTTAAAAGAAAGAAACACGAGGCTTCACTATAGCCAAAGGTAGTAGACAAAAATGTCCCAAATCAAGGGAAACAATGGGGGGGGGGGGCTTGGACTGTTGATTAGTCGCCTCTTACGACATGCAGTGTCCTCTGCAGTAGGAATATTCTACATGTAGCATGCTACTCCCGTCCCTACACGGGGATTACAAAACCTTTTCTTCAATTTCTTTCTTGATCCAACTACACTTCTCGTCTTCATCTTGTTCAGTCTTGATATTCTTGAGTATATTTTTCAATTTCTTATCTTCTTTCTTTTTCTTCACTTTTCCGATGGTAATTGCTGGTTGGTTCTTTTTCGTCTTGACTAATCCTGGCTTGGTTGAAAAAATATCTTCATATTGACTAATCAATTCTTCGATGGCTTCATTCTCTTCTCTACTCCCCGTAGGCTGATTTACTTGAAGATTTGCTGTTCTAATTTTCAAACTTCTTCCTTGAAACCGAATGTAGTAATCGACATCATTGTCTTGAAAATAAACTTCCTCTCTGTCCATATCAATCTTGGCTTTCTTGTCTCTCATCCAATCGGTGCCTAATATTGCTGTTGTTTCTAATTTCTTCACAACCAAAAATTTCTGTTCATGTGTACTGTCTTGAATCTGTAAGGTGAGTAGGGCTTGGTTGACAACCTTTACTATTTTCCCAGTAATTCCTTGAATCGTGATTCCACTAACTGGTAATGTGATAACTCTTGGATTTTTTCTTTGTATAAATTCAAAAACTTCTTCGGAAACCACGCTGACTTGACTACCAGTGTCCAATAATAACTGTTGTTCCACCCCCTCCAGCTTTCCTATTATAATTGGTTGTCCATCATCAATAATCTCTGCTTCTTTTTCTTGATCGCTCAAAAAATCTTCATCATCTTGATAATTTTCTTTAATTTGATTCATTAGTATCGGTTCCTCTTCCTTTTCATCGTCGCTCAAATTTTGTTGTTCATTGTTGTTCAAAATATTTTCTTCATCCTCTTCTTCTGGTTGAAATTGTTTCAAATCTTCAATAAAGTTGTTTAATTTTTCCTCTTCATAATTTCTTTCTTGATGTTTGATTGTTCCTATTGATGTGATTTTATTATCTTGAATTTGTTTTTCAATTGTTGTGTTAGTAGGTTTTTGTCGTAATCGTTGGAAATAATTGTGAACGCTGGTTAATAAACTTGTTTGCTCCAGAGATCTTCGTGATGTCTGAGGGACTAGTGGAGCTCCTGGTCCCTGCTCTGTTAGTTTTCCGGCTGGGGAGCCTCTGCTCTCCTTCTCACTTCAAAATTTCTATTTGGTCCGTAATTGCCCCTTCCTCTTCTGTAATTTTGGAAGTTGTTGTATCCACCTCGTATGTAGTTTACTTGTCTTCTCTGCTCTTGCCTCTCTGGCTCCTCTCTGGTGTTCTCTTGACTTCTATTTGGTCCATTATATCTTGGCCTGGTTTCTTGATTTGAGGTTTGGATTCGTTCAAGAGTGTTTATAAGTTGTTTGACGGTGTTCACTGCTGATCCTATGAGGATGTGCTCCACCTCTCTTGGAAAATGTCGGGATAAAGCGTCGACAAGCTGGGATTCTCTCATTGGAGGTTGCAGGTGGTTGGTCTTATTTACCCAAAACCAAACATGGTCGGTGTACTTTCCAAATTTCGCTTGATATAGTCTGGGTGTAGCTATTTGAAGTCGTATTTTGCCTTGTACCTCTTCAGACCAGTAGTTCTTGATAAAAGCGTCCTTAAATTCCTCCCAAGTCTTCCAGTTGTTACGATTCAAATCAGCCCATGCTTTGGCATTCCCTTCCACCATTTCCTTGGCATATGATAACTTGGTTTCATCTTTTTTATCGAAATGTCTTAAATAATTTTCCAGTCCTTCCAAAAAGCTGACTGGATGGATAGTCCAAATGTTGCCGTCAAATTTCTTAGGCTTCTGGTGAAGTAAATGATCCGCCTTGTAAATAATTGCTGGATGGGAATTGGTTTCCTTGGCTGGTCGAGCTTCTAAATTCGCCTTGATGATTCCTATTTCTTCATCCTGATGGTCAATTCGCTCTTCGTTTTTCTTCATACTTCCTTCAATTTCCACAATTGCATCCTTGACTCGCTCCTTGAAATTCCCATGTTTGGTCTGAATGTCTTGAATTATTTCCTCTTGTTCTTCAAACTTGCTTGTTGTTCTAGTCGTGTGCATTTCCAGCTTCTCATCCCACTTCTCATAGGCTTTCTTCTGGCTGTATTCCATTTCAGCTCTCGTCGCTTGAATCTCCAATTTATTTTCTTTGATTCCCACCTGGGTTTCTTCTCTGAGCTGGTTGTAGTCGGTTTGAATTTTTCTCTCCCATTGAGCTTGTGTAGACCTTAGTTCCTGCCGTATCGCTTCCATTCTGTGTTGTCCTTCTCCTATTTGTTGTTGTAGGTCTCTTTTGGTTGCTTGTAGGGCTCCTTCTATTTTCTGTATATCTTCCTTGGCTTCTTGTCGCCCTTCGCCCATTTGATGTTGTACTGCATCCACTTTCATTTCCATTTTCTGTTGCCCTTCACCCATTTTTCGTTGTCCTTCTCCTAACTGTTGGATAATCATCTCTATCATATTAGTTAATCGTAGTATTTCTCCAGGTCCGCTGGTGGTTTGAGGTTGCATAGTTGTTATGGGTTCTCCCAGGCTTCGGCTTAATTCACCTGGTGCTGCACCTGGTTGTACCTCCTGGTGGCTGGTTTCACCCCCTCCATGGCTGGGTTGTGGCATCTCGTAGCTTCCGAAAAGATCTTGGCTCTCCGGTGAGAATGGTTGCGCCTCCACTACGTTTTGGCTCTCTTGGTTTTTCGCTTCCATTTTCTTAGGTATTTTCCTCGTGGCTTTCTTGAATCCTGAACGTAGTTCCATCAAACAAGGGACTTACCTTCGTATCCACCTGTATTTTCAAATAAACAACAATAATTTGCGCCAAATTGTTTGAAAGTTACCAGCAATTCTGATCGCCTCTTTGAAATATTTATTTCTACCGTAGCGCTCAACTACTACCCTTTAAATCAATAATAAAATGTCCACAAATTACTTCAAAACCGCAATAAAAATTTTAAATCCGTTCCTTAATACGCCCCTGTATGGTGTTTATATAAATCGCGTCTTAACTGCTGACAAAACAAATTCCTAATCTTCCGCGACCTAGTACAACAATAACACGTTACCTCCGGGATCAAAAACCGCTATCAAAACAAACGTACGTATTAAACATGAGATTCTTTCAGGGCGCTAATTCGAGCTCCACTTTTGGGCGACATTATGTGGCGGTGCTTTCTTTTTACGGATAAACACAACCACCTCAGGTACACGTACCCGCTTCTCCCTTCTCTCCTCTCTCACCTCATCAACCCTTTTGGATAGCTTATCTCACCAAAATTCACTAATTATTAATAAAATCACAAAATCTTTACCTCGCTTCCGACTAGCTCAAATACTTACATACAAAATTTCTACTGTCTTACTTCCATCGAAAAATCAGGTATCTAATTCACTTTTTACTGGTGTTAATTACTCTACTTCTCATCTAACTTCTCGTTGAAAAATCACCAACTCAATGGCCATAATTTCATTCATTTATTTTAATGCAAAATCCAATGCATTCCAGAAAATTGCGATCTTTACAATCAATATTATAAAAATTGGGAAATATGACTAAAACCTTATTAAGCTATCAAAAAATTTGAATATTATTAGTTCTGTTGGCCAACTCACAATATGTTCTTTCCCTTGAAGAGGTGACTATTAATTTTTTATACTGAATTTTCCTTGACACAAATTCCACTATTTCAAATATAATTAATTACCTTCTTTAAGGAAATTGATTCAATAAACAATCGATTAAAACATATCATAAAACATATAAATACACACAAATTGACTTTATTTTTTATTACAATGAAAATATTCAAAATAGACTAACCTTTAAAATTCCAGGACTTCGATGAAGATTGGGAAGCCCTTTACATGCTAGTTGATTGATGGATGGGGTAGACTGCAACTTTTGGAATGCCAACTTTACGTCGTCGATTGTTTTTCTTTTTTTTCTTTTTTATATAGCTGATGATTACAGTTGAAAAATCCTTGGCTCGCTGTTGAGTAGGTTATTTTCCTTGTAGAAGGTAGACGAGATTTTCCAAAAATATGTAGTTTTGTAGGTATAATCCCACAGTGAAATTTCATTGATGTAAACACCTTATTTTGCGTAAGTTCGTGAATTAATTTGCCTGATTTTTGGTCGATTTAAAGAAGTTTTTTCATAACAAACTATTACATTGAACTTTTAAAACACATTACTTTGATGAAAACGGCTATCCACACTTAAAAAACTTTGATGGTTATATTCCAAGGAGGCACAATAGTAAATTTTACCACAACGGCAAATGAGTGAAACGTTCAAATTTGTTCCGTCGGATAGATGCCAAAAATGCGCTCGTATTATTTTCCTTTAAGAACAAGGGTTCATATCACACCGCTATTATCGCTCGAATTTACTTAGCGCTTTATATTTGATACGTAATGTCCACGTCTAATTTTAATTTCAACACGACGTGGATGATTTCATAGCACAATACGCTTGACAAATTTTTAACTAAGATTCCGCGATTTACTTTTTCTCTTCGGGCGTGAAATTTACACAATGGAAATTTCCCGTTTTAACTAATGGTACAAAACTGTACTCAAACTCGGACTAATATCGACCGTCACTTAAACGGAATCACTTATTTGGTGCTTAATGCACGCGATTGAAAATTTACGATCTCTTCGGCCCGGCTATGCAGTACCAATCTTTCTTCGGCCCGGCTATACAATACCAATCTTTTTTAAAAATTTTTTCCTCTTAACTCTCTCCTAACATATTTACGCCCCTTAATCGTTGCAAAATGGCTGATCTTTTTTTATTACTGGTACTTCTCATACAATGGCCTCCATCTAAACCAATTAACTGGGGAATACTTATCAACTAATTTTTTCAGCGTTTGCAGAACCAGCTTTCCCAAGCTTGGCTGGTGACTCAATGATAAAAAACTTATCTAAAGAAATCCGATATTTATTCGTTATCTGCATCCTGTTTTGTACTGAGAATTTTCTGTGATCCCATTTATTGCGAATCGCGGCACAAGGAAGTTTAATACAATGAACCCAACATGATGTCATACTACAATAGTTACAAAGCGAAAAAAGTTTTATCCCCAAAAGGAAGAAAGGTTTATCCAATTTTAGTACAAATCCAAATCGATATTCCGAAAAATTTGCAAAATTTCGACCGGCCATTACTACACCCGTTACACGACCGCGGCATAGAAACGTAACGAGATGACATGCAGTCGCACTAGAAAACTTGGAAATGAATGAGTAAACTCTATTTCTATCTTTATCAATTATTGAATAAATAATAAATTATTCAATTGCGATCAGTGCTGAACACCGACTTGCCTTAGAAAAGTTTGAGAGCACCCCATTGCAATTTAACTGAAAACTGAAGGAAATACGCAATTCAAAGATCTAAATTAACCCCCTGGGAACTCCTGCAAACATAACACTTTTTGTGAGTTTGAGTTACAGAAATCCACTTACTTTTCGTAATCTACTATATTCCTTTCAAAAAACTCTCCAAGGTATATACATCCAATGCGGGAAAAGTTATATAATGCTAAAGATTTATCGCTTGATATACACGTGCTAAAAAAAATAAATTCGTTTTCGCATAATGGAGTACATATTGAAAATGTTAATTTTGTTTCAGTTGCATTCGCGCAAGATGAGAGGATTTAGAAAGTCCAAGGGCTGTGGATGTCTGTCCTTTCATAAAAGGAGTATTAGCAGCTACGAGGACGAATCGACGTCGAGCTGTCGATCGTCCGATGCGGAAGTGCAAGTTAAGGCTTTTCGAAATCGGAAAATTAAACCCGAAGGTGGATTACTACATATTCTTTTCCCGAGGAACCTATTCAAGGGATGGCGGAGGAATAACGAGCTCAGCATGACTAAAATCGAAAGAAGTAAGTACCCAATTTGCTTTATCTTTGAAGTTAAAACCAAAGATTAAGAATTACAATTTCGCTAAACATGAGTTTTACATTATAATATGGCTTTTCAAAACGTTGGCGCGGCTGAATGTATAAATCTACTTCTTAAGTCATTTATCTAAGTAATTTTAAAACACTCGCAATTGATCAATAATTCATTAAATTCGTCGTAAGAAGAGTAATAGCACAATAACTATGCAATATGGGCAAGTCCAAAACGAGGTTTAAGATATGATAAGTACATTTCTCCTAATTTACTCAACCTATTCTCTCTGTACGTCCGATCCCTTTTAGTTAGGGCGTAAACTGCAACATATGAATATTTACAGTGTGATCTTTTGAACCGCGGAATAGCGCAATTTCACATTGCTCCAAACTTATGTTGAAATTAATTTCGTTTAGGCCATCGTTTGCGAATAAGTTCCAAATATACTACACATTTTTTCCCACTTTTGCAATTTTCAAGTCTAGGACCATTGCGCGAATGGACAATTTCCCGAAACATATTGTGTTCGACCTAGCTATCTCGCTAATTAATTTATTATTACAAAATAGATGTTTTATTCCATGTTCCCTCCACACTTTATGCAGGCTTAGGACTGGCACCGTACCTCTGGCGTGTTTAAAACGAATAAAACATCCAATTTGTCATTTTAATTAGATTTTTTATTTTTATATATTTTTTTACAATTTATTTTGATTTATATTTATCTTTTTTAATTTATTTATGTATTTGATTTTTTATGTGTTTCTTTTATACTCATACGATAAATTATGTGGTATTCCCCTTAAGAATTTATAAGTGTTTGCATGATCGTAATTATTTACCAGACTTGCAATCCGCCCTGCACAATCTCAGTATTTATTACGTGTAGGGGGGCCTCCCAAAGCTTCTACATACTGTTCAATTTGATGTTCATGTAAGCTCTGCTCCAGCTGAATGCCTTTAATAAATCTAGAAATGTTTGGATGATCTCAAACTTGATACTCCAATATGTTTTGGAGAAATAACAACCAATTTGGGGTGTTTTTGAACTAAAAAAACTCTTTTTACTCCCCTTGTAGGTACGTTACATCTGTCATTAAAATTACAAGAATTTTTTTCTCAAATGGAATACATCTATTGTGATTAGCAACAGCTAATGATTGAAAACAAATTCAAATAATGAAACCTATCTTAGAAAATAATGTAAAACGATAATCTGATCTACTCCAACGAGGTAGACGAAAAAACGTATGCAATTCATGTATAATAAATCGGTGATATATTGATTCGTTCGACTTTAGTCTACTCGCTACGCTCGTGAACTAAACATCTCACTAATGAATAAAACGCCTCATTTATACACTCATTGCATAAATAACTATTAAACAAACAGATTTAATTTACGAAATAAACGTTTATATGGATAGTCCGGTACACACTAAAATAGACGTGATGAAAGTTGTTCAATAATTCACGATAATTCGAAGAGAAGCGGAAATAATTAGACTATAAAACAGTGTGTACCTTTATTCATTGAAGTTCAATAAAGTTGTCTTTATTGCTGAATCGGATCAACTTTCTGGATGTCAACTGCGTACAAACCAACGCCTTCGGGGTTGAGTTCGATGTAATGCCGTTCTTTTCTTCCAGAATGCTCACCAAATAGTTTCGATTTTTGTATCGATTATGCAATCATTCATTTACAAAACAACGTCAGCTGTTTTAAAAAAAGCAGGCTAATTTAACAATACATTCACTAATGGAAAATTTCCTTTTCATGGCGAACTCAATTAATGGACTAGATCTTGCTTCTAGTCACATTTATTTACGAGCTTTCC